GCTGACCATCTCCAGTTGTCCTTTAGTGCGGCCTCTGCCTGAGGCAACTGGTCCCGATTTGAATTCAACTCTTCACCTGGCCCCAGTGTGACCTGAACTGTGGCCCTGACTCATGCTACAGTTTTCCTCTGCCTTCTGCGGATGCCTCCTGCCAGGTGCCCACCCCTGGACCGTGTGCACCTGTCTCCTTTGTCTTTAAGTGCCTCCCTGACCCAGGAAGGTCATCCTGGACTGCCAGCTTTGCCTTCTGCCATGTTCTCCAGCTTTGCTCCAGCCCTGCCAGGGCCCTACGGACATCAGCAGACTGGCTGCGACAGGAAAAGAAATCCTGATCCTTCAGATGGAGTCACTGTGCAAATCCTGACTGTGGCCATGACCCTTCCTGCGGGGATTATACCAAGGTGGTTGAGAGTAAGGGCCTTGCAGACTATAACACCCAGGTTCAGGTCCTGGTTGTCAGTGGTGACCATGCGGAGGTCATAACCCCCTTGGACTTGAGTGTACTAATCTGTGAAATGGGGAAAAGAATCAGACTTATCTCATGGGGCTGTTACGAGGATTTGGAGAGATGTTACATGTGACACCACCATCATGTCAGACCACAGTCTGTGGTCTTAGAGTTGTCGCCCATTACTCCTAGCATCATCATCCACGTGTGCCATGGTAAGGGGGTTAAGGGCACAGGCCTGGAGCTAGAATGCGTGCATCTGAATCCTGCTCCTCCATTTCCAAGCTGTGTGGTCTTGAGCTACATAGCCTCTCTGTGTCTCACGGAAGTCATCCATAAAATGGGAATAACAACGGTGTCTACCTCATAGAGATATGGTGAGCTAGTTTGCACAAAGCCCTCATTACGGTACCTAGTACGTGACCAACACCCCGTAACGCCCATTGCCGCTGTTGTTATTACTATCTGCAATCCTGTGATCACCCAGGCTGCAAGCTGCTTTGCAGGCACGTTTAGGCAATGGAGGGTTCGAGAGCTTCTGCGAGGTTCCAATGGTGCTCGTGTCAATGGTGAGTGACTGTGCTCGCCTGACTCACTCTGCATGAGCATAACGGATGGCCGGTGTTTTCGAGGGAGAAGGGGCAGTATGCTCCCGGTTCTAAACAAACCAGGAGGTGCCAAAGCCCAGACCAAAGCCTAGCAAATCAACTGGGGCTGTTTCTCCAGATCTGTTCAAAGGAAAAATGCTGCCTACAGAAAGATCATGCTTTATGCCAGATTAAACACTACAAACTTATTCAATAACATGAGTTATTGACTACGGAAGAAAAAAAAATCCATTATCGTGAAGACTAGCTTTCACCTAAGGATCAAGGTGTTTTGACTAAGCCTTCTATGACACATACTTGTTACTCACAGACTAGGATTCCACGATTTAAAGATACACAATTCTGAGCACTGCCTTCTCAAAAGACTAGGGAATTTTCTAGCAAAATTTAAATGCAACAGTGGGGGTTGGCAGCAAAACAACTGACTTTCCAAGTCTAGTCAATACCACATCTTTGGGGTGCGTGCGCATGCGTGTGCGTGCGTGTGTGTGCGCAGCGTAGGATCTGGAAAGCTATTTAAGGTTCGCTCCAGTGACCAAGGATGAAGCAGTGCTTCGAATACGAGCTGCAATCTTTCTTGCACACGGCTATGCCTGACAGATCTATGGAAACACAGGGGCGCAGAATGCATTTCTTCAGTTCCCTGTTTCTCATGCTCTTTGCATGCTGGTTAAAAAAAAAAACAGGGTCCCACGGGAACATCTGCAAACCTAAAAATGCAAACCTGCACAGCTGGCGGATGCTGGGAGATGTCAGTAGCCAAAACATTCCTGGAGGCCAAGGCTGCGCACCAGTATGCTTGGGATAAGATGCAAGCATGATAAAAATGCAATCATAACAACAAGTATCAGGTAACCATTATAGAAGGTCCTCTGCGTTGAAGACTATATTAATGGGTTTTCATGCATTATCATATACTCCTCCCCAAAACACTACGAAGGAAGTACTGTTATTCACTAAATTCCATAGATGAGGTAACTGAGCCTTACAGAATGTAAGCAATTTGTTCAAGGCCACCCAGCTCCGACAAGACAAAGGCTGGATTTGAACTGGTACCGCAAGCCATTAATTGACAATCTGAAAAACTGGGGCTCATGTGAGAATTTCCACAGAGACTAATGATGGGGTTAAAATTGGGCCCATCCTACCAGCTACCTCTCGCCATCTGTGCTGCCCAATAGGGCGGCCGCTAGCTACATGTGGCTAGTGAAATTAAATGTAATTTCAAATTCTCCTCAGTGCTCTTGAGCGCTTGAAACGGGGCTGGTGCAGCTGATGGCCTGAAATTTTAATTTCATTTAATTTTCATGAATCGAAATTTCAATAGTCACATGTGGCTACTGGGCAGTGCTGATCTCAGGCATTTTTTTTAGCAGCATCAGACACGGTTCCGGGATGCTTCCCCCAAATCTGAGACAGAGCGGGGCATTCGGTGCTTTGCCCAAGGGCCCGTAGAAAATCATAGGGATAAATCCCATGCCTCTTCTTTGGGATCCGAGATGGTATATTCTTCAAACATAATCACGTGGCCTTTCCAGTATTTCCCAACACCCAGATCTCCTGATTTTCTCCTAAGTCACCCCATGAGGACAATAAAGTCAAAACAGACAAGCCCAGGAACAGCTGTTCTCAGACAATGGCTGCATCAGCATCAGCAGGGAGCTGGTTAAAATGCAGCTTCCTGGGTACCCCCTCCATAGTATCTGATGCAGGAGGTCTCGGGGGACATCCTGGATTCCATGTTTGAATCAAGCAGCCAACGTCGAATGCAGGGGGTCTAGCTTTGCGAAACGCTGCTTCAGAGGCTGAATTACCTATTTATCTCCTGGCCTCTTAAATAATTATAGCATATAGAGTTTTCGAGAATAGCACAAACTGGGCTGAAAGCCAGGCAGTCATCACTCGGCACCAATTGCTCGCTTCTACGACACAAGGTAAGGTGCTTAGTCACTGAGGCCTCATTTTTGTTCCCTCGGAAACATGAGGGTAAAGATACCTGGTATTTGTCCCCAAGGACACACGAGAACACAGACGTGAATGCATTTGGGAGGGATAAGGGTTAAACACCCTGTAGAGACACCCTATGACTTAGAGACATGCTTTGCCTGTCTAGCAGAGTTTACATAGATTTCACATTTTAAAAATCCACACGTTTAACTTGTCTGGAGGAACCGCAACTATTGGCAACCTGGTATGATTAAGAGCACTGCTCCAGGGTTGTAGGCACATATTCAAATCCCCACCCCATCTTTTAAAAGCTGGGTGACTTGGGGCAAAGCCTTCAACTTCTCTGTGCTTCAGTTTCTTCAACTCTAAAATGAGACTCTTAATAGTATATCCATTTTCTAGGACTGGGAGGGTTTAATTAAGTGAGTTAATATTTATAAAGTGCGTAGGACCAAATCTGGCATGGGGTAAGAGCTACATGGCTGCTAGATGAATAAATAAGTATCTTTGCATGCGGCAACAACCAGCTGGGGCTGAGCAGGGGCTGACATGCACAAGTTTATGACAAGCTCCACCAAGACCCACTGGACTCTGGGGTCCCTGATGTAAGGGGTAGACGTGTGTCTCCCTCCTCAGGTGCTCCACCCATAAGGGAAGTGCATCTCGGGACAGTACTTCTCAGCTGTCCATGGCGAAGGACCCGTTTTTTATTCTCAATCCACCGTGGACAGATATGTGACCCTCCTGAGCATGACTGACACATAGCACATGCCACACACAACTCAATCGTGGGTTGCACGACACCCTGACTGGTCCGTACCTGGACCAGGAAGACGAGCCCGCCATGCATGCACTCAGATGTCATGGCAAGGTCAAACCGTTCCAAGAGTTCCTAAACACTGTCATTTTTATTTTTTTTTATTTTTATTTATTTATTTATTTTTTTAAAGATTTTATTCATTTATTTGAGAGAGAGAGAATGAGAGACAGCATGAGAGGGAGGAGGGTCAGAGGGAGAAGCAGACTCCCTGCCGAGCAGGGAGCCCGATGCGGGACTCGATCCCGGGACTCCAGGATCATGACCTGAGCCGAAGGCAGTCGCTTAACCAACTGAGCCACCCAGGCGCCCCAACACTGTCATTTTTAGTACTTCTCTCACTGCAGGCTGCGGCTAGCTTCCACGCACAGACTACATGTTGTGTAGCGCCGTCTTAGAGAACTTCCACATCGGTCCTCACAGGCAAATGGGCTAGACCATTTGTCTGGAGAAATCAGGCATTGGATGGTCTCTCTCTTCCCCCTTCGCTCCTTTTCAGCCTGCCTGCCTTCTCCTGTCTATCCACATTTCTTTGGTCTCTATCTGTACATTAAAATGATCTCCCTAATGAGACACTGGGGTTCGGAACGGCCTTGGAAGCTGTCGTGGGTGCCGTGGTGTCTCAAGCACCACCCGGTGTTGTCAGGACTGCCTCCAGCTCACAGCTGCCTCTTCTCCTGAATGTTCTCCTTGGCCAGTAGTACCTGCCATGCCCCCTGCCCCTATCCAAAACCTCATCCCGGAGCTGCTCTCTAGCGGCCCAAAGCCAGTGACTGACAGACACGGTGTGTGGGACGTCAGCCCCTTTGTCGCAAGAGGGAGCCAACTGTACAATTCAACCCATCCTCCAGAGCCCCCTGTGGGGTCAGACTGAAGTTCGATGCCAGCCCAGATAGCACTCTCTGCTTGGCTCCTCCCCCAACCCTGGCCTGTCTCTCTCACCCCCCTTCCCTGGGAGCCCGCCCTCAACCTGTCCCAGGCATCCTCATCCCTGTCTCAGGCCCTGTTTATAGGGAACACGAGCAAAGATAGAAGCCATCTGAAACTGGGGTTCCCCTCCCGAATGACCTTCTGGAGGAAGGCACATGGCAGGAACAACATGAAAGTCCTGAAGACCAGCTTCGGGTCACTCAGAGATTATTACCTCTTGCTTTCTGTTTTCCAGGTGACCAGAACCTACCTGTTGCATTAGACAGGGCCAGTGATTCCATGGAGCCCGGGGGGGTCTGCTCTGTGGGCGTCACGTCCTCAGTATATTTCAGGGAACTGATTGGATGGCGGGTCCGACACTGCTGAGTGGATATGCCCCCTTCCTCCTCCTCTTCCTCCTCCTCGTATTTGGCGACTGGGATGTTGCCTCGGGTTTCACTAAAGCTCTGACTGGACATATCGCTGTAGCTCTCTTGGGATCTCAGCCTTCCCGGGTAATAGTCCTCGCGGCATTCCTTCATGAAGCTGCCACCGTGCCCCTTCATGGCCAGTGATGAGCTCCTTTTGGGGTTGCTGAAGTGCTTGGCCCACATGTCAGGCTGGGCCCCGGCCCCCTGCCCTCCTGGACTGTAGGAAGTTCTGATGTTGCACTGGCTGAGAAGCTGCAGGGGACTCTGGGACTGGTTCTGCTCCATCTTGTTCCCATAGTGGTAGGGCTCGTCCCGGCTCCGCCAAATGGGGTCCCGGTTGAGGCTGGGCGTCTGGCTGGACAGGCTGAGCAGGTCCATCTGCAGTGACAGGGGGTCCACGTCGGCCGACAGTCGGTTGGAACTCACCTGCAGCTGGCTGTGCTGGTTTAGCATGGGCTCCTCCGTCTTGCCCTTGTTCTTGCCGATTTTGGCACTGCGCCGGGACTCCTTGGCCCTGGCGTTCTGGAAAGCCGAATCGGAGGAGTCAGAGCCATTGGGGTCCTCCCCGGCACTGCAGGCCCGGGAGCAGAATATCTGGCCCTGCTTTGGGAGGAACGGCCGCCCCAGGAGGGATTTCTTGCAGTGAGCACAGCAGAAACAGGTCTCGGTGGCATGCCAGTGTTGGCCGTCGTAGGTCATCTGACCTTGGTCGATCCCTGGGGATGGAAAAGACACGGAACAGGCTGACAAGCTGCTCGGAGCCCTGTATTATGATGTGAAACACACAGCATCCTGGTTTGGCTCAGGGTTCCAGATACAACAGAATAAAATAACGATAAATCACTAATCAGAACCTCACATAAATGGTATGCATGTCCCATTATGAGAGCCCCCTTGTTCTACCAGTCAGCTGCTTCTTAACTCATTTGCTCTGAGCAGAGAAACAACTAGATCAACATGGCCTGTCCATGAATCCTTCTGCCTGGAATAGATTCTCCCAGACAAAATTACAATAATGCCACTAACACATGATATAAAACTGCTTTAAATGCTTTGCATATAGGTAAAGTCATTTAACCCCTCCACTGTATGAGATAGGTTTCTAATATTATTTCCATTTCTCAGATGGGAAAACAGAAGTACAGGAGGGTTAAATAACTTGCCTCACTCAATACAACCAGGAATCACAGGTCAGATCTGTACCCGGAAGTCTTGCTCCTAACCGAGACATTGACACTTTCTCTTTCACTCTCCTTGGGGGTCTGCTCAAATGCCAACTCCTTGGAGAAGTCTTCCTGCACACCTGGTAGCATGCTCTCCGCTATTTTTCACCCTGACCTGCTATAGTTTTCTTCACAGCACGAACTGTTTGACAATGCACCACCACACATGCGCATCTGCTTATTAATTCTCTCCCCTGCCAGAAGTGAAGCTCTAGGACAACAGAGTCATTAATTTTCTGTGGCATGTCCAGGAACATGGCCTGATGCATCAGAGGGGCTCTTTATATGTTGAATGGATGACCTGAATCCCCTACCAGCACAGGCCATTCAGATGAAGAAATCATGGTAACAGTTCCGTGGAAAAGAAAAAAGTGGATTTCAACACTTGGTAAGGAAAAACTCGGGTGTGGTTCATCAAAGACATCCTCCACAAACACGCACACCCTTTGCTTAATGTCATCAGGGAAGGAAGAAATACATTTCCTCCCCAAGCAAGGGCTGTCCCTGGTTTGCATAATCTTGTTACACACCTGCCCCGCAGGAACCTCCCAGGGGCCCAAGTGCTCTTGCTTCTCAGCATCTCTTCTGCCCCCTGCTGGTTCTAGGACTTAATCTCCCTGTGGGACACCACCTTTTTTTTTTTTTTTTTTTAAGATTTTATTTATTTATTTGACAGAGAGAGAGAGCACACAAGTAGGCAGAGCGGCAGGCCGAGGGAGAGAGAGAGGGAGTAGCAGGCTCTCGCTGAGCGGGGAGCCCCACGCGAGATTTGATCCCAGGACTCTGGGATCATGACCTGAGCCGAAGGCAGCCGCTTAACCGACTGAGCCACCCAGGCGCCCCTAGGGACACCACCTTCTTGCCACCCTTGGGCCATGAGCTTTGGGCAGGGCTAAAGCCATGCCTGGACCTAGTACTGGCTAGTAAAAAAACTGTATCTCCCACCCTAGTGGCTGCTTTAAACGTGGGCGCAAGACCTGCACTAGTCCAATGGGAGAGTCACCTGGGACTGTCGCTAAGATAGTGACGTAGGGAGGTTTTCTTGACAGCAGCTGCTAAGCTGGCAGGATGGAAGTCTGGATGCATTGGGGTCCCCCTCCTGTGGGGAGAGCCTATGGGCTATGCAGTCTCATGCAAGTACTGCAGAATGGAAGGGGACCTTTGCAAGACTCCTGATTTCTGATAATAAAAATCTTTGCAGAAATGTAGTACTAGTGTGAACCTCCACCTTCAGTGGCTAGCAGTCTGGAGCCTGGACTCGCCAGGAATCACTCTGAGAGCCCTGTCTGCAGAGCTGGTAAATAAGAACCTGGAGAACGATCTCCAAAGAGAAGGGCAAGAACAAAGGGCAAAAGGCAAAGCTGCTGTCCCGGCCTCCTGTGCTCTCTGCCGCCTACCTTTAGGTCCCTGGAGCCCAGGGAGAGAGAGGCACAAGGCACTTCCTCTCCTACAAGCTCCGCCCCAAACTAAGGGGTCTCTGTTTCTTCGGGAGTCTGGCCCTAGGGACTGAGAGGGGAGTTTTAGAGGGACGGAAGCTGCCACAAAGGCAAAGCGAAGGCAAAGCGGCCACCGTGGAAATGCACTCCGGGTCAACAGGGCATTCCCGGGAGGAGTGGGAGCTGGCGGGGCGGGGCTAGGGACGGGACCCAGAGCTGCGGCTCCATCCACACTTGGTGCCCAGGCTCCAGGCAGGAAGCAGGGCAGCAGTGTGGGAGGCCGAACTCTGGGGTCCTGCAGAGTGGGGCTTCAGGAGTCAGTGAGGAGTCAGAGGAAGGGAGCTTAGCATCCCAGCTGCATCCCATTCCAGCTGGTTGTGATGGAGCTGCTGAAGCCCATCTGCTGAGGTTCCAATCCCGGCTCTGCAGCTGTGCGACCCTAAGCAAGTGGCTTCATCTCTCTGTGCCTCAGTCCCCTCCGTGGTAAAACGGGGACAATAACAGTTCTGACTTCACCGGGTTGTTATGAGTTAATGTGCAGAGGGTGCCTAGACCTGCATCTGCTAACTACTCTCACTGCTCTTCTTCTCCTAGTTTCGTTACGCCCTGATTGCCCATCTCCCTCTCTGCTCTGAGGGTCACTGCCTGGATGGAGTCCAAGAGCGAGCTCTGGGGCTGGCTCCGTCTTCCCTGCCGTCCCCTGCAGAGGGCTGTGCTCACCCCCGGCTGTCCCGCAGCCCAAGCAGCCACAGGCTCACCCGCTCCCTGTCAGAGGCACGCAGGAAGCTCGGTTCCCGTATTTGTCCTCCCCCAGCTGCCTCTCTGAGCTTCTGCAGGGACACACGCTCTGATGTGGCAGCGGGGGCCCAGTTCTGGGGATGGGGCCTTGCAGAAGGCTGGGCTGGGGGTGGGGCGTGCAGAGGGGAGGCGGGTGACAAAACGGCCCAGCAGGCAGGGCAGTGTGGTCCCCAATCAACATCCCTGATGTCAGATGGTCCTGTGAACAGGTCCTGAACTCGAAACATCTGGAAAAGGGCTCTGCTGTTCCACATCTAAGCGTTCCTTTTTAATTCCCCCCTCTGAGCCCTGGAAGCCCTTCTTGGAGGGCGTATGTGTGTCGAGCGCTGCTCTAGCCTCGGTCTGTTTACAGGACTGTCTACTCTGCTGCGCGCCGGCAAAAGCCCCGTTGCCCTAGCGACGGCTGCCTGATGCAGGGTCCGCTCTGAGCGGCTGTATAAATACGGAGTATTTGTATAATAGGGTCAGAGCAAAGCACCAGGAGATGGTGGTATGCAGGAGAGACAGAGCATACCCTTTCACTGTTGCAGGAAAATGAGGTTTCACAGAAAAGTAGGGGAAGGGAAAGAACAAAATCAGGGACCACATTTTAACTACAGCAGTGATAATACTGCAGGCCACAGAGGTCCCCCTCTCTGGTAAAACGCTGACGCCTTTTTCTGGATTTAAGAGGGAGGAGAAGGCAGTGCCTGTCAAAGTCCTGAAATAGCTAGAAGGAGAGAGAAAGAGAAGAAAACAGAGGGGCCTTCTGAGGTGGACCTGCTGGGGTGACCGACAGATTTCCTCCCTTCCAAGTTGCTGAGCAAACATTTTAAGCGGCAGTTTCTGGTGAGGCTTTTAAGGCCCAATGGAAAGGGACAGAAGAAATAGCAACACCAGCGAGAAGCGGGTGTCGTGGTGGCAGGTGAGCTGTCCGTACCCTCGCCGCCTGCTGGCAGACCCAGAATCCACGCACAGCAGTGCTGGATCAGAAAGCTGCACCATCTTCCCCCCGACACAGCCCACCCTGGCCCTCCTCACGTGGCCAGCCACCTGTCCAAACTGAGGTCCCCATTTCCTAACTCTTAGCATCAAAGCAAGTCTGTTTCCCTGTTTTGATCTTGTGAGAAATGAAAGCTGGTGGGTCCCTGGTTGAGGCATCAGGCCGTGAGAGGGAGAGGCCAGTCAGGAGTTAGGGGAAGGTAGATGGGCACATCACCCAGGCCCCCCAGCAGGGAATACTGCATAGCAATGCTGAGCCCCGGGCCCGGCAGGGACTCCAGTTCCAAAAGGCCTCAGGGAAGCAGACCTGAGTCTGCGGGGACAGACTGCCCAACAACAAAGGACCACTGAGCACACAGTAGGTGCCTTGCCTGCAAAGCTGGGATTTTTACCAGCTCCCAAAGCTCTCCAAAGTACTAGTTAGGTTTTCATTTGAATAAAAGATCACTTCTGACGAAGCAGGGAGACAAAGTCACTTCTTTTGGTTCCTGATAAAATCCTTGACATGGGGGCAAAATGGGCTCCCAGGCTGATTATCTCCACATCTCCCCACTAGAGGTAAGAAGCTGGCAGCTTCTGAGCAGATTTCTTGGACGTGCACAAGCCACAGGAAGAGCAGGTTGCTGGTCTCCCAGACATTCATCCCCTGCTAGCTCTTTCTTTTCCTTTTTAAAGGGTGGCTCATTCTGAAGGTGCCAGAACAGGCGAGCTGAATGAAGAAGCCACAGATGCAGCATGATCTGGAAGAGCGCTGAAGGGTTGAACAAATCGGTTATTTGCGAAGGGAAAATGATTTCCACCATCTCAGATCTGCTGCTTCTTTGGGGAGTTTATAGCTTATAAGCTATTTCAGGTTCTCTTGCTTTGTATTTGGCTGGGTCAGCTTTTGCTGAATTTTTTTTTTTTTTTTAAAGACATGCTTGCCAGAAACCATTTGGTTTTTTTGACAACCCCTTCCTACCAAGAGGACTCTGCTGGTTCCTCCCTCTGTGGATCCTCAAGTTTTCCAAGGAGGCTGTGGAAGACATCTGTTTACATTTTCCCTCAGAGTTTCCTTCTGGGACTTCTCCCCCTTGGTAGTGGGGCTGTACATCCCATAACCCCATCTCGGGGGTGGGCCTATGACTCAGGCAGGCCAACCGAAATACCCTCTTGTCCTGTTTCCAGGGTGGCACACGTGACCAAACCAGGGATGATAAGGCTCCTATTTGGAGGAACCGATTTGGATACTAGAACAGATGTGGCCTCACTCCTTTTGAGAATGCAAGTGCTAAGATTATGTATAATCGGGGAGTCCTCTTAGCCAGCATGTGAAGGCAGCTTGCTTTTTACCGATGCCAACAGAAGGCAAGTAGTGCTGAGACACAAAGGATAGAAAACCCTCCAGACTTTGAACCCTTGAGCCATCCCTACCTGAAGCAAGCACACTCCTTGAACTTTCCAGTAAAGTGAGCCAAGAAAGTCCCTTTTTTCACTTAAGCCAGTATGAGTTGAGAGCCAAAGGGCTTCTAACTATGCCAGATGCCAAGGAGACCCAGTCACATTAGGAGTGAGCTGAGTACCAAGCGTTGCCTCACCTATGTGTTGGGCACAGGTGTCGCAATACTCTGCATACAAGGACTCGAAGCAGCGACAACAGTAGGGCCTTCCCTCCTTCATGATGTAGCGCTGGCCGCCAAGCACCGTCTCGCACTCGAAGCAGCAAAAGTGTTTCATGTGCCAGTGCCGTCCCTCAGCTTCTGTGCATTCGTCTGCAAAGATGATCTAGAGATGGGGAAGCCAAAGGATCAGTGGTTGAGACCCAGCCAGGAGAATGCACTTTACCGGAGAAGAGCTATGGGGACCCCAAACTAGAAGGAGGGCAAAGCAGGTCTTTCCCACAAATTACTCAATAAAAAAATCTTATCTGTACTTGCATATTCTACATCGATATCAGTTAGCACATTGGGATTTGCCTAAAGCATAATTAACCACAGTTTTGGGCCTGCCCAGATATTAATTGAACCACATTTTAATTAGAGAAATAAAGGTCTACCCTGAAGAATATAAAGCAAGACCAGACACCGATGGTTTGTGGGCACTTTGGACAACACGTACATGCCTTATTTGGCTGATGCAACATCTTTTTAAAAATAGGGAATGTCATTTTAACACCTAGACTCCTGGTTTCTTTGTTGAAAACACAGTATTTGAGAAGGAGGACTGCTAGATGAGTGGTGAGTTCTCCAGTTCGGTCATATTTTTCACCACTCACTGCTGTCTTAAAATGAGTCACCTTCGTGTACAAAACCTGCCTTGCCCTCAGAAGCATTTGTGTTTTGACCTCTAATATAGACTTTTTAAAATTTCAAAGCACAGGCTTCAAAGCTGACTACAAACTACAGTAATCAAGGCAGTGTGGTACTGATATAAAAACAGACGTACAGATCAATAGAAGAGAACTGAAAGTCCAGAAACAAACCCAAACATTTATGGCCAACTGATTATCAACAAAGATGCCAAGGACATTCAATGGGGAAAGAATGGTCTTTTCAACAAATGTGGCTGGGACAGCTGGATAACCACATGCAAAACAATGACTCTAAGCCGTATACAAAAATTCATTCAAAAGAGATCAGAGACCAAAGGAACTACATACTATAAAATGCTTAAAAGAAAACACAAGTGTAAATTTTCAGGACCTGGATTAGGCAATGGTTTCGTAGCTATGACATCGCAAGTGTAAACAACAAAAGGAAAAAAAAAACAGATTAAATCGGACTTCATCGGAATTAAACACTTCTCTGCTTCAAAGGACGTCAAGAAAGTGAAAATGTAACCACAAAATGGGAGAAAATAGGTGCAAAGTATGTATCTGATAAGGAACTAGTATCCAGAATATAGAAGCAACTCCACAATAAAAAGAAAAATCACTCAATTAAAAAAAAAAAACAAACAAACGGGCAGAGGATTTGAATACACAGTTCTCCAAAAAGAAGATAGACAAATAGCCAATAAACACATGAAAAGATGCTCAACATTATTACCCATTAGGGACAGACGTATCAAAACCATAATGTGATACCATTTGCACCCACTAAGATGACTAATGAAAAGTAGTGTTGAGGATATAGAGAAACTAGAACCTCCTTCCCTGAGAGTGGGAATGTAAATGCCATAGCTTCTCTGAAACAAAGTCTGCATTCCCTCAAAAACTTGGACACAGAATTGCCCTATGACCCAGCAATTCCACTCCCACGTAGATACTCAAGAAAACGGAAAAATATATGTCCACACAAAACCTGCATATGAATGTTCATAGCGGCATTTATCATAATACTCAAAAAGTGGAAAGAACTTAAATGTTGATGGACATCAACTAACAAATGGCTCTACCTAACATGACCTATACACACGAACTGAGTATTATTCAGCCTTGGGAAGGAATAATGTGCTGATATGCTACAACGTGGATTCACCCTGAAAACATTACACCAGATGAAAGATCATGTTCACAAAAGATGACACACTGTCTGATTCCACTTATGTGAAATGTCCAGAATATGTAAATGCATAGAGACAGAGAATAGACTAGTGGCTGCCAGGGGTAGGGGGAGGGGAGAAGGGAAGGGACTGCTAATAGATACAAAGTTTCTTTTGGGGGTGATGAAAATGTCCTGGGATTACACAGCAGGGAGAGTTGTGCAACTTTATGAATATGCTAAAACCCACCAAACTGGACACCTAAGAAGGGTGAACCTTATGCTAGTTGAATTACATCTCAATAAACAAAAATTTCAAAAACCTCAATCACCATATTCTATTTGCCATTAGATAACAATAAAGTATTAGGAGCACTAATTTCCAGAAGTGGAAACTGAGGGATGAAGGTAAAGTGGCTGCCTGAATTCAGGTGCAACTGAATTCAGTTTCCCAAATACCCATCTAGAGGGTCTCTCCAGAACATCACCATCAGCATTAGAATCCAAATTAGTTAAGGCTGGTCAGCTTCCTCCTAGAAAAGTGAACCCCTCCTAGGCAGGCAGGAGTGGGCTGTGGCTGAAAAGGGGAGTGGTGCTTGCAGAAGCCCACACTGCTGTTTGCTCGGTCAGATGGAACCAGAAATCCACTCTGTGTAGGAGGAAACCCCTATCCAAGATCTTTCCCAAATTATTCCCATAAAAGTGGTCAGGTTTAGAATATTCTCTTTTCTCCTCCAAACTTTTTATTTTTTTTAACTTTGTATAGAAATATAAGCTCCAAACTTGTGAATCCAAAGCAAATTTTCTCTTCTTGCAGTTTACAGATCAGATCTGGGTGTGCCTGTGGTGGGAGAAAACACCAGGCACAGACTTGGTGTTCTAGTCCGCTTTCTGACCTGGGGGTAGCCAATTCAAGTACCTCTCAGAGCGTGGGGCAGGACTCTCCTAAGGGAGTATGCACCTGCCTCCTGAATCCCCATCAGAACTTTTGTCAGTTACGGGGAAACGAAATAGTGCCACCAAATGTCCCTCTTCTCAAACCAACGTGTCCCATTGAAGCTCAGGAATCCCAACTCTCTTAAGACTTAAGTGCCACACCATTACTGATGATTACGCCCCGGGACCCAGGATGAAATCGAAAACTGCACAATGCTTTTCTTTGAGAGTTTGGGGCTGCCCTGGTGCCGGTGACTCTCAGCTACAGAAACTGCCCTCCAACCTGGATGCCCAGGAAATGGCGACCTGCTAGCAACCAGGGAGGGGTGGGGCTTCTCCCGCGAGGCGTAATCCAGGAAGGTGGAGCGGCCTCTGGTTTTCTTCTGTGCAGAAGAGCACAGGAGAAAGTGTGGCCTGTGGCCGGACGGAGGGGCGATGGGCGGGGCGGACGGAGGGGCGATGGGCGGGGCGGACGGAGGGGCGATGGGCGGGGCGGACGGAGGGGCGATGGGCGGGGCGGACGGAGGGGCGATGGGCGGGGCCTCCCCCATGGGCGGCGCCTCCCCGTGGGCGGGACCTCCCCCACTCCCCCACCGCGGCAGGGCAGCGTGCTCTGACCTCGTCACAGGCTGCGCAGCGCGGCTTCAGGCACTCGGCGTGGTGCCGGCCACAGTATATCTTCCCATCTTGGTAAAAGTAGATCAGATCCACCAGCAGCTCGTTGCAGACGGTGCAGATGAAGCACGGCGGGTGCCAGCAAACGCCGTGGCCGGCACGGGACGCAAACACGGCGATGTCCCCGCCGTTAATCTGGCCTCCGCACTGCGAGGCAAACAGACACGTCAGTACAAACACCAGCCCGTCTCTCTCTCGGGGGCGCGCCGCGCGCCGGACCGGATAAAAGCCCACCACTCCCGGGCGCCTGGGTGGCTCAGTTGGTTAAGCGACTGCCTTCGGCTCAGGTCATGATCCTGGAGTCCCGGGATCGAGTCCCACATCGGGCTCCCTGCTCAGCAGGGAGTCTGCTTCTCCCTCTGACCCTCCCCCCTCTCATGTGCTTGCTCTCTCTCATTCTCTCTCTCTCAAATAAATAAATAAAATCTTAAAAAAAAAAAAAAAAGCCCACCACTCCCATAAGGGCGGGTGGCTGTGAACTTGTTTTCAAGCTAGTAACCGTGCTACCTGCTTTACATACACGGGAGGGCGGGTTTTGCTTGCCCGCCCTCCCACTCTTCTTCCTTCCAAGGAAGACAAAGCTAAAGTCACTGAGGAAATCAGGACTCTCAAGGTGGGAAAGACAGAAAAGCTCCTTTGGCAGAGGCTCTACAGGCAGGGGGCAAGCTGACCCGTGGTGAAGGTGTCCGTATCTTCTAGAAGCTCCCAACTCCATCCGGAGGCACAGCTGAGTGTAACACCACAAGGAGAAGGGGGTGGGGGGGTGCATTAGGGGCGCTGTACCATGGGGGAGGGAGGGGCGCCTGGGTGGCTCAGTCGGTTAAGCGTCTGCTTTTGGCTCAGGTCATGATCCCAGGGTCCTGGGATTGACTTCCACGTCCGGTGGGGAGCCTGCCCTCTCCCTGTGCCTGCTACTCCCCCTGCTTGTGTTCCCTCTCTCTCTGTCAAATAAATAGGATAAAATCTTAAAAAAAAAAAAAAAAAAAAAAAAAGGGAGAGGGAGTGGGTTCATAAAAGTACTTAAATGATTTCTCCAAAGCCTTTCAGGAATATTTTCAGTCTGCTTTCTCTAACATCTTTTTACCTAGTCTTGACTGAAAAGGTACCACTTCTAAGGCCACACCATGGAAAGGGCTTCTCTCCCCTTCCTATCTTCTTGCTCATGTTCCAAAGTTCCTTTCCCAATGCAGAAAGGAACAAGGCAGCATCTCTGAAAACCCATGTTATGGCTGAGGCTGGGCCTCTGAGGGAGGAGTAAAGTGTGAGGGTGCTGGGTCCTGGGAAAGGCTCTCTGCTGACCATGGCATTGGCCATGAGGTTCATGGGCTGAGGATCTAGTTCCATGGCCTAAATGAGTGGCTGGCTCTGGGGACAATGTCTAAAGAGTAGAAAAGATACCTCTAAATACCTCTAATCCCACACCCCGGCCATCATACAGGATTAAACATTTCATAGGAAATGAAGTAAAGGTCTCATGGAACAGTCTCTGGGAGCTCATTAAGGTAGAGACCAGATAAAAGAAAAATACTGTTGCAGAAAGTAGTATCCTTGCCTTTTATAACGTTGGTAGACCTAGGATAGGCACAGTGATAACAGATAAACGGAAGCACATTAAAAATTTCGAGGGTTTATTTGAGCAAATACAGATTTAAGTTGGGCAGCACCAAACTGAAGGTGGTTAGGAGGGCTCCACCTACCTGGAGCCAGGAGGGAGGTGCTTACAGAGAAGACAGGGATGCAAAGCAAGGAAATTAATTGACCGGCTGTAGCTTAAGTGGTTGCCTTATTTGAGAAAGCCTACTTGCCTATTGGCAATTGGCTGGTCTTAAGTGTCATTTTCTCAATGGTAAGACACTGCCCTTGGCTTAGGTTTTGGTTTGCTCACACAGGTTATAAAGCTATCAGAGACATCTCAGTGTAATGGCCTCTTTGTTCAATTGCTTTAACAATACAGAATCCCATGTAATCCTCACCTTAATTCCATGATGTAGGCATTTGTCACCTACATTTTGCGGATGACAAAATGGAGGAAAAATAACATGGTCAAGGTCATCTGGCAGAAACATGAGTCGAACTTCTCTGCCTCCGTGCTTCTGTCACTATTCTACACAACTTTTGACACCCACTCAGAGAAATGTCCAACCTTCCTTTTTCCTTAAAAGAGCGCAGCTGGGCTGGTTCCAGGAGACGGATCTCAGAGGGACAAAATTCCTGATGCGAGGACACCGAATCTCACATCTTTTCTTTTTACTTATTTTTTAAACTGCTGTTAGCATTTTTATAAGTATTTATTTATTTTAGAGAGAGAGAGAGAGTGGGGTGGGGGAGTAGGGACAGAGGCAAAGGGAGAGAGAAACTCAAGCAGGTTCTGCACTGAGCAGGGAGCCCAACGCAGGGCTCGATCTCCCAATTCTGATATCACATTTGAGCTGAAACCAAGAATTGGACACTTAACCGACTGAGCCACCCAGGAGCCCTGTTTTTTTTTAAAGATTTATTTATTTATTTTTGAGAGAGAGAGAGAGAGTGTGTGGGCGGGTGAGGGACAGAGGCAGAGGGAGAGACAATCCTCAAACAGAATCCCACTGAGTGTAGAGCCTAATGCAGGGCTCAGTCCCAGGACCCTGAGATCCTGACCTGGGCTGAAATCAAGAATCAGTTGCCCAACCAACTGAGACACCCAGGAACCCCTCTCCTTTTTTCTTTTCCTGAATCTCACATCTTAACCACTGACCACCTGCATCTCAAGGGTGAGTATCAAGGGTGAGGATTCCACTGCCCAATCTCTGGTCCTGTGGTTCCCCTATTAAGTAGCATCTCCATTCCACCCACCTGAACCTTCTCACCCCATGCCTTTGAAATCTCAAAAAAGGGCCACCAAATGGCACCCACTCTCCTCAGGTAGTATCTCGATTTCTCCTCACTGAGCCAGTTCATGTATCTTCAGCACCTGAATGGTTTCCTTAAGAGCTTAAGGAACTGCATGAGGCTTTTCAAAGAACAGCACAGCCAAGAGCAGTGCCCAAAATGATGATCAGCACCAGAAGGCTCTGTGGCTAAGAGGAGGGGCAGGGAGAACCCAGGCAGGCTGCATTTCCACCTTTCTTTCTTTAAAACCTTCTGCTACCATGCCCTGAGCTCTCTGCAGGAGAGTAAGAGGAGAAACAACCCCCAGACCCAACTCAGTGAGGCCCTGGGGAGAATGCACGGGGGCAGGGTGGCACATGCATTTCGCTAAAGAACCCTCAAACCCAAGGAGACGACCCTTTACCACCCCTTTAAATGGTGCTGGGATGATCCCATGGTCCAGGCAAATTCCATTTTCTAAAGGACTCATTTTAAAACATAAATCCATCAAAAAAAAAAAACAAACCATAAATCCATCATGTCATTCCTGTGCTCAAATCCTTCAAATGGCTCCCCATCTCCTTCCAATGGCTTACACAACTGGCCCTCCATGAACTCTGACTTCACCTGCTACCTCTCTCCCTTCACTCCCTCTGCCGTGCCACAATGGCCAACGTGCTGTTCCTTGAACACAACAGAAAACGCTTCTGTCTCCAAGCCTTTGAGCTGCCTGTTCCCTCCACCCTCTGTGATCTGCAGGACGCACTCCCTCAGTTCCTGCAAGCCTTTGCGCAGAGGCCACCTTCTTCTTTTTTAAAGATTTTCATTTATTTGTTTGAGAGACAGAGTGTAAGCTAGAGAGAGCACGAGTTGGGGAGGGGCAGAGGGAGAGGGAGAAGCAGACTCCCTGCTGAGCAGGGACCACCCCCCACCCCCACCCCCACCCTCCCAACACAGGGTTCGATCCCAGGACCCTGAGATCATGACCTGAGCTGAAGGCAGATGTTTAACCGACTGAGCCACCCAGTTGCCCCCAGAGGCCACCATCTAAGTGGTGCCTTGCCCGGCTACTTTCCTGAAAATTGCAAGATCCCCACACTCCCCAGTGCTTGCAGCCTCCTTCCCTGCTATATTTTTTCTTCTTTATTTTATTGTTTGACTTTTTCCCCTAGAATGGACCTCCTTACAAGGGCAAAATCAAAAGCTGTCAAATCTTTTGTTCACCGCTGTATCGCCAAGAGCTAGAACTGTGCCCGGCGCATGGTAGGCACTCTATGAAACAGCTGTTGCAGGAATGAATGCGTGACAGGATGCCAGCACAATTCCTCCCCGCACCCTGGAATCCATGCTCACCTGTTCACAGATAGCTCCTGTCATCGTGACTGGGAAGGGCCTGACATTCCCTCGACCCAAGTTTTCACGTTTCCTCTGGTTGCTGAAGAGCTTCAGCTCCCTCTTCTCCTCCTCATCCAGGGAGTTGCAATATCGAACCTGGACAGACACAGAGAATGTCATGGAGGCCGTCGCCCTCGCTCCGTGGGATTTCTGAAGCCCACACCCCAGAGTTTTCTCGTTAAATGTGCTCCCACTCAGCTTTACAGCGCTGGCCTGCGCTGGCCCACCAGCGGGCTCGGGGCTGGTGAACGTGTCTCTCCCTCAGACAAAAGAGCCTTCTAAAGGCGCCGAAGTTCAGAGCCCAAGTCATGAGCAGGCTCAAGGTTCTGTAACAGTCCCTCAGCCTCCGCTACCCCACGAAGATCCACATCACGTCGGGGAGCTCTGGCGCTAGTCAAGATCTGGGACTTTTTCCTACTTAAAAATGATGTGGATCTTCAAATGGATTGTGGGGTCCTGATTCGTTCACCTCCTTGTGTCCATGTGCATGATCCTTGACACCAAAGGATGGCTCCAGGCCAGCGAGCCAGAACAGTGGTCAGAGGGCTCCCAGCTTCTGTACTCCCACCTCATTTTGGGAAAATGGGGAGCCAAAGGCTTGAGGCGAAGGAGTTGGTCCAGAGGTACGTGCCCTGCTTCACGGAAGTCCCTGCATGTTTATCTATGTGCAGGAGGGAAAGGGCGGCCCACTGGGCTTTGGCTAATCCATCTACTTGCGTAAGATATTTGCTTTCTTGTTAAACACAAAAACTCATGGCATTAAGGGAGGGACACTATGGACACTCAAATCCAGCATTTCCCAGTCTTTCCCCCTTATTAACACATACCACGGGAATTCTGCCATAGTCTCGAACTATTATTAATACTGTTTTTAAAATGGTCTCACTTTTTAAAACTTGAATACATTTATTTAAAAAGAAAGTATATTATGATTATAAATTAAAAGTCAGTACCACCTACAAAAACCAGAAGGTGACCGTAAAACGAAACAATGTGAGAACGAAATCAGGTTGTTAGATTCTAGCTACTTCTGCTCAGGGGAGATCCTGAAACAGAGATTCTTAACACAGTTACTTAAAAGTGGAGACTGGTATGAGTTGGAGAGGTGTGAGAAAACTGCTAGCCCAAACTGAAATCCCACCCCACCCCCCACCCCGGGGCTGATTCAACCACTCCACCTGGAGGAATGAAGCACAATTTAAAAGGGAGTGAGTGATTCTCTTGTTATGTGGCTCACTTTCACTTACTATCATGTCTCTGTACCACCCAAAGTCCTGTGTCTGTCAGGCTTTGGGAAACACGGACCTCATCCCATGTCCTGTCTTTCTTTGCAGTAACAGTGGAAAGGTTAGATGAAATGCTCAGATGGTTTGTTATATGACACTTAGTGGGAAATCTTTGGATCAGAACTGTTGCATCCTAACTGGAAAACCAGTGCAGCTGGGTATGTCTCAGCTGCTTCATCTGAGCAAAAGAGGGAATGATCAGTTACTGACTTTAGAACCACTCTTTGTCCTCAAAAGGACCATGTTCAAGTGGGCAAAATCTGCCCACTGGGTCACTTGGAAGGAATTCTCTCCAACAGGAAGAAGAGAATTTGAATGGTCTCTTTTCAAAAAACTACAGTTAACTGTAAACAGAATAAATCATTAAAAGCAGAGAACAGATCACCTTGCTCTATCGAGTAAAAAAGTGTTGAAAGAAAGCCGTCCTGTGGATGTCCCCGTAAGCACCACCGCTGTGACCTGACTAGCCCAGAATGTACGGTTACACCAGTGACATTTTATGGATATGCTTTTAAAGAAAGGCACTCCCCTCCTGCTTGTAAAAACACGCATTTTCACTTCCAAATTAGTTAACTGGGCATCGGGTTACAGTGCTTGCTCTCGGGTTTAAAGGAGAAAACACTGTTAGTATTTGTTTTATGAAGTCGGAAATGGGCGACAGGAAATCATGGCTCTCTTTCTAGGGACTTGCTTCAGTTTTTAAGCTTTTGCTTCACTTATGCAAATTTATTTTTGAGGCTGTTGAATTATCCCTTTTGATCTGAATATGGGAAGATAAAGACTAAAATAGCACCTATTCAATTTGCCCAGAGATCTGGCTTGTGGGTGGGAGCAGTCGGTAGAGAGCTGGGGTCCAGCTCTTTAGAGGGATTATTTCTCCTTTCGATTTAAAATTGTTTAAAATGCAATCAGTTAAGTGGACAATTCAATTCTAGAGGATAACTATTTTTAAAAACCAGATACTTAAAAATTAATTTCTAGTTTACAAACCTAAGCCCTTCAAGCAGGGTGATCTTTTAAAAATGTATTCATGGACTGCCCTTTATGAGCAATTTGACTTCAAAGATAAGAAACACCTAATTACTGTGACTTCTCTTGAGAGGTTCAGGGAAAAAAGGACAGCCTGCAAGCCATCCTTCCACGTGTTCAAATGGTGGCCCTGCAAAGTTGGCCTTTCAATGACAAAAACACAGACATTCAGAGCTGCAAATCTGGATATGTGACTTCTATTGCAGCATAACGTGGAAAACTTGCACACTTCTTTAACAGGAAAATGCCAGAGAGTCACAACGTTTTTTGCAGGGCTTGACCTTCAACTGGCCCAGGGAATTGCAATCAGCTAAGGGACTCAGGCAACCAGCACATTCTTCTTCAACGAGGAAAACCTGGGCTTGAGCTTTTAACTTTTAGGGCTCCCTGGGTACCCCCAAACGGCTAGTAGCGCCAGGCACAGAGGTGAATCCAGTCCATAATGAGATCTGCTTCTCGGTAACACTCTCCAGAAGGTGTTGGGCCGTTTCTTTTGGCTCTAATTAAGGAAGCTAAATCCTAAAACGAAGGGCCAGAGTTTTTCTTCAGAGACCTCACCGGTCACAGCATTCTGATTATGAAGAGGGTAACAATTCACAGAAGCTTCTAAGACAAGCCTTCCTAAGGCCCCCGCGAGCCCCTTACCTCATTGTCATGTGGCGGCAGCTGGTGTAGTAGCTGCTTGATTCGGAGCTTCTCTCCAGGACTGTTGACGTAAGGAACCTTCTCCTCTGGGAGACAGCTGTAGTACTGATGAACCTGCAGGAGGAAAGCGCATGGGTCACTTGGCCGTTCCCACTCCCTGGGAAGAGGATCCCGGCACACGTTTGACTTCCTGTCCTTTCCGCCCTTTGCAACTCAGCAGCATCTGCGGTTCTCACTGCAAGCAGACAAATTCATCCTTGAAGAAAGAGTGGGGCGAGTCACCCGTATCTTGGGGCTTTCCCTCTCTGGCAAGGGAAAAATAAAGCCAGCAAACTTTCCTAGAAAAAGAGAATTCGGCAAACAGGCGGGGGAACCCAGAGGGTAGAGCTCTGTCGGCAGGCTCCCCCCCGCCCCGAGAGAGAGAGAAAGAGAGAGAGACAGGGCAACTTTACCATTTTCTCTGTGAGTCTCTGGCATGCACCGTGCCTCCCTAGTCAAAGGGATCTGTCGGTGCCTGCCTCACCCTGGAGTCAGGGCCAGGCTCTGGCACTCGCTGAGCTGCTGGGTCCCTCAGCCTCCACCTACATTAAAAGCCCTCTAGGTTTGGAGCACTTTATAAGGGCAGGTAGCAGTTCCCATCTGTCCGAAAAGAGAATCACTACATCTGGGATACTGAGTATGCAATTAAAAATTATCATTGGCAGGAGTAGTTTTGCACCTCCCAGAATGCTCCTGTTTACGGCTGTTAGGGCATACTCTTGCACTTTCTGGGGCTGACTCAACTCTAACAAAGACTTGGGAAGGCATCTAATTTTGCCTGAGCAAAGAAAACAGACATCCTACTATCCAGCTGTATGCAAAACTAGGGTCAGGAAAAACTAGCCAAAACAGAAGGTATGCTATTATACAGGAGAGGGGGAAAAAAAAAAAAATCCCACAAGCTCAGATGACATCATGGAAAATTCTTTTCAACTATCTCTTAGCATCATGACCAGATCTTGCGAAACAAGGCATTCATTCAACAAGACACAGAAGACAGGGGACTTGAGGCTCTAAATTCATTATATTTGTTCCACTCCACAAACTTGGTCTAATTCCCTTGAGTTTAGGGAGCCCTGGACATGAATACATTTTTTGGGAAGGCTGGGGCAAAGAGCTACAGAAGCTCTGTCTACTTTGATCTCCAGAAACGAAATCATAACTTTTTTAAAAGGTGGGGGGAGGGAAAGGCTTTGCAGTGACAAGGCCTTAAAATAAATACGAAGGCCACCTTTATTTTCATAACACATGATTGTACCCATTCACCATCGTGTGCGTATTACTGTCTTAAGCAGAGCCCAAAGGCAGCCATAAACAGACTGCTCATAGACTAGCTGGCTTTCTCAAAACAGGGCCCTGCAACCGCTCCCTAGAGGCACCTGGCAGGGAGCCACGTCCTGGGATGCGAAGGAAGGGTTTCGGGTATTGAAAGCAGCCCACAGGTTACCAGCCCTTTCTCTGAGAAGAAATGAAAGCCAGATCATGAGTTAGTTTGGGATGAGGAGCTGGCCATGGGCCCGTCAGAGACTGGCACCCCACTTTATGCTCAGAGGAATCCGTGCATCGTACGCTGTAGCAGGTAAGTGCAGGCGGAAAGCAGAGGCCTGTGTCTTGGGGAATGGGCCTCACCCCCCAAGTTGACAGACTGCTTCTAGCAAAGCCTTGCTGCAGCATCCCTCCGTCATTCCCACACTAGTGACAGAACCTTGGGGACAGATGCTAATAAGAAAGGAAATCACTGGAGACTCTTGACAGGGGAGTCCAATTTGAGTGCAATGGGCTGTCTCCTGAATTGCCCGTCAGGACTCACACACCCCTCTTTGCCGCCCAGGGCACGGGCATCCCTGAGAGCCCGTATGACTTGGCACCTTGAGCCCAGCCTTCGCTGACACTGGCCAAGGCTGAGCCTGGCTGGAATCTTCCTTGCCTCTTTTGCAGCTTGGGCCAGCTGTTCCTGAACCCCCCTTCGCGGCTCTGTCACTTGCCATCTCTGTGTTCCTGAGTGAGTTCCAGAACCTCTCAGAATCCTTATCACAGGATTGTAGCAATCAAACGAGAGTGAAGGTGAAGCACTTGGCCCTCAATAACAATCAGTAGCACGAATACATAGTGGTGAGTCTATTATCCGGCCCGCAGGCTCCCAAGGGAACAATCCAGATTTTCCTGGCCTCGCTTCCATTTTGAGAGGCAGAGCCACACTATCAGCTTGCAGAGTGAGACCAAACTGGAGGCCTCCAACTACCTTAGTCTAAGAAAGAAGGCGGCGGTGGGGTGGGGGTGGGGGTGGGATGTTATTTAAGCTAGTTTGATTTCAGAGGGAAAAAAAAGCAGATTCTTACAAAGATGTGGTGTTCTCTCGAGAAACCCAACAGAATCGTAGGGTCTCAGAAGGAAACGGCACCGGCTACTGAAAGGTGACTGGTAAGGGATTCTCATCTCTCTAGGTCCAGTGTCCTCTTATCTCTGCCCTGGTCTTCTTCCTCAGCAGATCTGTTCCTTAGCATCTCAAAGTTTAAGGTTTCCCACAGCTCCTGAACTTACACAACCTCCTTTCACGGCCATCCTAGACTGACTCACTTGGCTCCGTTCCCAAGTCACCAGAGAAGGACCCTGCCTACCCCATCTTGGGCAAGGTCCACACCTGCAGACTGGATCGGAGAAGTTCCATCCTGTTTTGAGACGTCAGGGCTGGGCAAAGTAGAGGTGGCCATGACTGGAGACCTCCAAGGACCAGGAGCTTAATAAATACCCTGGCAAGCTGAGTTCCATCTTAAAGACTTTTAATTCTTCTGACTACTCTTTAAGAACATAGCTCTATCTTTCCTGGCTGGGCATCTTGTGTTGCCTTTTATAATTCAAGCCTACTGATCACAGCCGCAGAAAATACGTCCTTTCTACCAGCATCCAATAATTCCTTGAATACAGAATGTACTAAAAATAATTCCTCTCAAAAGGCAGTCAACAGTTTGGTGGATGACTTCAAAACTTACCTAGTGAAATGCACCATTTTGAAACCAAATCAGCTAATATTAACTAACAACCTCCCAAATCGTCCCCATGTCACATGGCAGGTGATCCGGCTTGCTCGGAGGATGGGGAATGAGTTGGTCCTTCACCACTTCCCTTGGTCCTTCCATCACTTGGCTTCTGTGTCTCCTCTTGGTGTTCAAGAGCTTGGGAAGTCCAAGCTCTTCCTTCAGCAAAGGGATGGGAAGGATGGAGAAGCTCCCCTCTTGAATTCCCAATCTGGGTCTGGCTCGACAAAGAACTGCTGCATGTAGTTTCCTTCGGCATCCTCCAAAATAAAACTACTGTGTAGCCCAAAACAAACACTGAGCAAACCAACGGTAAGGGGAAAGTATTTAGTGTACTTTCTGGCACTACGGAAATTAAATTTGCCACCACCACTGAAAATCCTGCAGATCGCTCATTTTCGTCCAACCATGCTTCTCTCGTTAATTTTCACAAGCAAATAATCATATCCAATAGAATTTTGTCAATGATGACCATGACCAAGCAATACGTGCTACGGCGATCACTTTTTCCTCCTGTGTGTACTGAGTATCATTCTCCAAAAGGACTATGGCATGTGCTAGAAACTTGGTTCCATGTACTCATTACTCAGGTAGAGGTGCCCTGCGATACTGCACCCTGGGTTGAGCTGTAAGAGGTACACTTCCCCCAAACAAAAGCATTTTGCACACAATCAACTGGCTCAGGAAAATGAGATAGCTGAAGGCCTTTATTTATGGTGTCACTCCCCACAGCGAGGTTTGGCAAGAGCTTCAGTCTGTGTCAGAGGGATTGTTAGAGCTTTAGTCGGTGTGCAAATAAAATCTACAAAGCAAGGCCTCGCCCAGTTGGAAAGACTGGGTTTGTTAGAAGGAACTGCACATTTGACAGCATATCTGCCTGGGCAGAGAAGGGAGGGAGGGAGTCAAGTGACTCCCTGTTGGAGAGAAAAGTGTGCTAATTAAAAAAAAAAAGTGCAAAGTGCTTCATTTAGAGCGGTGGTTCTCAAATTTTAGCTCGCATCAGGACCACGAGGACAGCTTCTTAAAACACCTTTCTGATTCCACAGCCCTGGGGTGGGGCCCGATGGTTCGCATTTGTACCACCTTCTCCTTTGATGCCCCTGCTGGTGGTCCAGGGAGCACATTTTGAGAGCCTTAGAGTCATCCAGCAGTTTTCCCTCAATAGCCAATGCCTTGAGAGTGCCAGGTAAATGATGCTATTCTTACACATGCCCGGAGATCCAGGAGGCCCAGAGGAGGGGAGGTTCGGAACTTGTTGAATCTCACTTAATTTTGCAGGTATCTCTTGCTACACCTACATACATGCTTAAGAAGGGGAATTCCATCAGCTCTGGTAAGGATAAGCCATTCTAAGGGCAAAGTGGGCTCCTATTATTGGGTGGGACATTTTGCATATCAAAAGCATCCTGTGTTCTTAAGAGTGCGAACCCAACAAAGAAGTCAGTCTTTCTTGGCTGATCTCAGATTGAATTGTCCTTCACCCTCTAAATGAAGGAAGGAATCAATGAACATATTTATTTACGGAGTGGCTCTTATGGTAGGGTGTTTTTATATACGGTATTTCATAAACCCTCCCCATGCCCTGGAGGCTGGTAGATTGTACTCATTAGACTGAGCATCACACAGCTAAATAGGGGGAGAGCCATTTTTGGACTTGGCTCCCTTATCCTCTCCTTTGTTTTTCGTGGATTCTTGGCCTTCTTCATCAAGAAAAAAGAGAGACTGGCAGATGGATGGGAAAGAACTAAAAAACCAGATATAGTAGATTCCCAATATGTATGACTGACCACATACATGATGAACACGTTTTCCTTCGGTGTGCTAAATAAAATGACCAACATATGGTCCCAAATGAACTGGCAGTAGGTAAAATATGAGGTACTCCAAATGAAACGGTCTTTCCACAACTCCATGGAATGATGGTATAAGGGAGTTGTGGCAGACATGGCTCTCTACCTACATCCATTTTCCTTTTCTCCCTTAATAAGAATACCAAAATCTTACTTGAAGCATCAATATGCCCAGCTTAGAACAATATTT